AAACTCTGCAGAATAAAAGATAAACGAACTTGAAGACATAGCATTAGAATATATCCAAAATAAAGTACAGAGAACAATATGACTGAAAAAAATTAACAGTGTTAGAAACCTATGAAATAATATCAAGCAGTCTAACATGTTGTAGTTCCAGAAGAAGAAGAAAAAGAAAGGCAGCAATATATTTAAGAAATGATGGCTGAAAATTTCCAAATTTGCTTAAAAACTATAAAACCACAGATGTAAGAAGCTCAATAAAACTCAAGCAGGACAAACACAATGTTGTGCCATATTGTGGTTATCATTATCAGATTATTGAGAAGCACTGCTAAAGAGATAATCTTAAGAGGTGCCAGAGATGAAAAACACATTTCACAGGGAGAAACAAAGATAATAACTATAGCCTTCTCTGGTTATTACATAGTTATGACAGAAACTATGCAAACCAAAAGACAATGGAAAACATCTTAAAATAATAAAATTAAAAAATTCCCATCAACTTAGAATTCTACATCCAACAGAAATATCCTTTTTTAAAAAGGAAAATAAAAACTTTTTCAGATAAACAGAAGTTAAGAAAATTCATTGCTAACAAACCTGCATTATAAGAAAAGTTAAAGGAAGTCCTACAGGGATGAGGAAAATAATACTAGACAAAAATTTGGACCTGCATGAATGAATAAAAAGTTCCACAAACAGTATAACATTGGTAAATACATAAACATTTTTCTCATTTTTAAATGCATTTAAAAGATAATTGTTAAAGTAATAATAATAATATAAATAATAATGTATTACAGCAATCACCATACATGTAGAAGTAAAATGTATAACAAGAACACAAAAGATGGGAGAGGAAAACAGAAGCATACTTTGTAACATTCTATATGAAGTGGTAAAACATTATTGAAGGTAGGCCAGAATAGGTTAAAGATGCATTTTATAAACCATAAGACAACTGTTAAAAATTAAAAAAAGAAGCATATTTAAATACTACCTGTATTAGTTTCTTCCCCTTCTTTTACTATCCCTCTCTATAGCACTTACCAACTTCTAATATCCTGTATAATTTGCCTATTTAGCTTCTGTACTGTTTGTCTTTTCAAAGCAGTTCTCTCCCTTTGCATTTTATGTTTTAAAATTTTTCTATAAAATGCCCTTTCCCCATAAGTTAGCATGTGAGATATCTTGATTTTCTAAAACAAAGCAGCATTCATGTCTCATAAAAACTCATAAAAAGCTAAAATCAAAAAACCCAATGAACCAAAACAAAAACCAAAAAACTAAAAAAAACCCCAAACCACAAAAAAAACCAAAAACCAAACCCTAAAGGCACAGGTAATGAATCATGAAAAACAATCAGTTTATTGAAAAGTCTGTGGGGGAATAAAGGAACAAAAAGACGAGGCAAATAGAAAACAAATAATAAAATGGTAGATTTAACCCAACTATATTGAACATTACATTAAATATAAATGTTCTAAATACTCCAATTAAAAGACAGAGCTTGTCAGACTTAATAAGAAAACCCAATTGTATACTACCTCTAAGAATGCCACTTTAAATACACAAATAAAAATAACTTTTCTATGTAATAGCTGTAAATAGTGGAAAGTTGAAATAAAAAACAATACAATTTACAAAATTTCCTAAAGACATAAAATATTTAGTAAAATTTAACAAAATATGTGTAAGACTTGTACAATGAAATCTGAAAACTACAAAGCATTGATGAGGGAAATAATCAATCAATGAGAGAAACATCAAGTAGATGGACAGATCCATAGTCATGGACTGTAAAACTCAATATTCTGAAAGTCAATTATTTCCAAATTGATCTATAGATATGACCCAGTAACAATCAAAATCTAAAAAGCATTTTTTTTTTGGTAAAAATTTATCTAAAAAAAGTTTATCTAAAATGTATTTAGAAATGCCAAGGAATTAGAAAAAAACAATCTTGAAAAAGAACAAATTTGAAGGACTTAAATTACCTGATTTTCACACAGTGACTTGAATGTAAATGTTCATTGCAGTTTTATTTATAATAGCTCCAAACCAGAAACAACTCAAGAGTTCATCAATAGGTGAATGAATAGGTTATCCATACAACAAAATACTACTCAGCAATAAAATGGAATAAACTATTAGTCATGATATGGATGTATCTCAAAAGCATCTGCTAACAAAAAGAATCCAGAAACAAAAGACTGGATGACATATTGTTACATTTACTTAAAACTGTAGAAAATTTTAATTTTTTTTAACAGAAAATATCATGGGTTGCCTGGTGCCAGCATGGAATTAAGTGGGATGGGACACAAGAGAATTTTAGGGGGTAATAAAAATATTCTGTATCTCAATTGTGCTGATAGTTACATGGGTATACAAGTCTGTCAAAACTCACTGAAATGTTCACTATGAATGGGTGCTTATTTTATTGTATATAAACTATACCTCAATAAAGGTGATTTAAAAAAATCAACAGCTTTCTTATACATCTGCAACCAATTAGAAAATGTTATGAAAAGGGCCAGCCCAGTGGCTTACTCAGGAGAGTGCAGCACTGGTAGCACTGAGGCTGTGGGTTTGGATCCTATATAGGGATGGCCGGTGTGCTCGCTGGCTGAGCATGGCGCAGACGCACCAAGCCAGGGGTTGCGATCCCCTTACCGGTCAAAAAAAAAGAAAATGTTATGAAAAACTTCCATCCACAACATCTATAAAAAAACACAAAATACCTGAGAACAAAACTATGAAGATATACTACTCCTCTATGAAAATTATGTTGTCATCCCTAAGATAGCACCTGTATAATTATAGACATTTCACATTCATGGATTTAAAACCTCAATATTATAAAAATGTCATCTCTTCCCCAAATTAAATTATAAGTTAGTGTTATACCAAATAAAATCTTAGGATTTTTCATAGAACTTGACTAGCTGATTCTAAAATTCATTTGCTAGGCCAAGAGCTTAGAATGAAAGACAAAGTCAACTTAAAAAAATAAGACACTAGTTTTATAAAGGTAAAATAGTTTAAAATGTGTAATAGTGACAGAAATAGACAAAATAGGTTGGAAGAAAACAGAATACAAAGTGTAGAAAAAAAATCTATATGATTTGTTCCATGATAAAATTAGCATTTCAATCAATGGAGGAAAGGCAGAAATCTTCCATAAATGGTGCTGAGACAACTACCTATCCATGTGCAAAAGAATATAGATAAATCTGCATACATAATAAATTCTAGCTGTCTTTATAAGACCTAAATTTTAGAAACTGAACTTAAAAGTAATAAGAATAAAATATAGAAGAATATATTTGTGAACATGGAGTACAAAGGACCTTTTCAATGACACATGGAAAGGCATTACATGTAAAGAAATTTTTTTATAAATTCAATTATATCGCAATTTAAAAAAACTTTAGTACATCAAAAGCAGCTATATTCTGCCTCCTTTTTTTTCTTTTTTAATTTTCAAGGTCAAGTTAATGGTTTTACATAATGGCCCTTCCATCTGTTAGAAATAATAAAATACCCTTTTTAGATTTAAAAAACACCACAAACAAAGTTAAATATCAAGTGATGTGCTGGAACAAGATATTTGCAATACATATAACATATAAATACATATAATGTATACAATCATTAAGGAAGAGAAGAATAACTCAGTGGAAAAATAAAAGAAGGACATGAACAGGCTAGCCACAGATAAATAAAACTAAAAGGACAACACATATATAAAAGATAGTTTTATAATATCAAGGATTTGCAAGTATTTGAAAGAACAATAGCTACTCTCATACCCTGTTGGCAATAGGGCAAATTAATGTGGCCATGTTAAAAGCATTTTGGCAGTACCCATCAAAACTAAATATGCATGTAGACCAGGTAACTATTCTAGATAAAATCACACTTGTGCAAAATGAGACAAATATAATGCTATTTTTTGTACCACTGTTAATAAAATCTGGTCTTGCCATACAATATAATACTATGCAATTAAAGGAACAGAATTCATGCTTCAATGTGGATAAATATCAAAAATATTGTCGAGTGAAAAGAGAAAATTATAATGTGAAACATTCTTTGATATGACATGTATAAAAATGTACAAAATAATACTCTTTTTTAAAGGTCTAGTTATGATAACACAAAACTCATAAGAGTTGTCATTTTGGGTAGGGGTTTGGGCACTAAGACTTAAAGGCATGGTAAAAGGGCAACTTACTTCTCATCTGTAAAATTCTAATTTTTCAAAAGGAAAATTAATTTGAGTATTTTATAGTAAAATTAATTTTAAAAATCCATTGGAGTTGGCAGTAAGTGTGTAATGGGTGAACATTGCTACAAATTCCATTGAAATGGATAAGTGAAGGCAAAAGTTAATAAATTGAAAAAAGAAAAAGAATGTAGAGACAGTGATTACAGGCTTATTTTGAGGAATTTGTACATATGGGAAATGGGTGATGAACAAAGATAAGTGTGGCACTCTGGATCTAAGGAAGAGTTTTTGTTTGCTTGTTTTTAAAAACAGGAGTTTCTATATCGCTGTATCTGTATCTATATGAAATCTCTCTCATATATATACATATACAAGGACACTTCAAAAAATTCATGGAAAAATAGAATTAAAAGATAATACAAATATTTCCATGAACTTTTGAACATCCCTTGTATACACACATGTAGTATATGAGGAAGACACCATTAGATAGGTGAAAACATACAGATACATAATTATACAGAAGAGAAAGAATAAATTGATGAAGTGAATTAGTTTGGTTCTATACATTTAGGAAATATGAATGTTTGCTAGGGATAGGGTAAATTTGGGACATGGCTCTGCTTACGACCACCTGATTTCCAAGGTTTCCCACCACTGTGAAAAGAATTTTAATGAGGAGGTTGTCTATATAATATTCTAAATATTTTAGTAATTTTAAATAAAGCATCCTTAACTGAATATTTTTAAAGGGAAAAATGAGAAAAATTACCCTAATAGAAATCCCCATTGCCAGGGAAATTTCAAAAGGAAGTGGGAAAATACAGCAGCTGAACATGCCTCCATGATGCATGGAATCATAGCCAATCTTATACAAACTATTTTTAAACGCTTCAAAGCCTGAAATATAAAAATAGTCACATTTAGATCCACTTACAATGGCCAACAAAAAATAATTTAAGCAAATATTGAAGTAAATATTCTTTTTTGAGTGATAAGCTTTCACTAAACTAAATCTCATTTGGCCATATTGTCTCACTGCGCTTGAAACTTTAATACAGCTTATTTTATATGTCTTCATAGGTTGGAATACAAACAATTCACATTTTATGAAATATTGTTCTATTTTAATTATTAAAAAGATCAATTTCTCTGAGATTTAATAACTGTACCTTCCTTACTTTTCCTAATAAATAGTATAATGATGAACTGTTTGATTAACTTAATAATGATAAATTAAAAACACCAACATGCCAAAAAATAAAATCATTTGAAAATCGTACAATTAATTTAAAAAGGAAGAAATTTGAATTTTCTCATTGGTTCAAATTTTCTACTGGAGAATATAATAAGTTATCACTGGCTATAATTATGTTTTTGAGATATTTCCATTAAACCCCTACATTTGCCACACTGATTTGATTAGCTGTTATGTTCATGAACAGTCATACTCTTAAAACTGAAACAGGGGGCCAGCCCGGTGGCGCACTGGATAGTGCGCCGCTTGGGAAGCGCGGCGGCACTCCCGCCTGAGGGTTCGGATCCCACATACAGACTGGTTCCCACTCACTGGCTGAGCGAGGCGCGGGAGCAACACCGAGGGTTGCAATCCCATTGCCGGTCCCCGGTCCGGTACGGGGGCAACACTGAGGGTTGCGATCCATTGCCGGACACGGAAATAGACAAAAAGACAAAAAAAAAAAAAAACCCAAAACAGATTTATAATTCATATACTGTAATATTTTAAGAAATATTTATAAAGAATAGCTTTTACAGTAATGCAAAGATAATCAGGAACATACTTCTGTGGAGAAAAAGTCATGAAACAAAATATTATTGAAATTCTTGATCTCCCTAAAACAAACAAACAACAACAACAACAACAACAAAACAAAAAGAAATAGAAAAGACTTTTTTAGAGTGACCTCATCCTCTGTTAACTGAAAAGTAAATAGTTGTCCCTCAAAGAGCCTCCCAAATAATGCAGGTGCTGCATAAGGCACATTTATCTTTACGCAAATAATTAAGATACTTTACATCACAGGAATTTCTCTTAATATTATTATTAAGAATGGCTAGAAATAGAATTTAAGGTGCCAAAATTCTGGCAAAGTCTTTGTTCTTTATATTAGTATTGCTTACAGACTCCATCTGGAACAGCTATAACAAAAATTCTGCCTCTTTTTCTTTTCCAACAGCCTCTAATATTTGAAATAACTTTACTTAAGTAATAATTGAAAATCTACCTTTGGATCAAGTCCAAGCCCAGCTCGTATTAGGATAATGGTAAGGGCAATGCTTCTTAAAACTGAAGACCACATGTTATGAACTTGGACATGCTTACTGATGAATGGAATATTTCTGATGATAAAACCAGCCAGTAACATCCCTTAATAGAAAAAAAGAAAAAAAAAAAAAAAGAATATCTGATTCACTTCATTCTTCCAAGAGAGAAAACAGAAATGTATAATTTCCCCTCTTCAAACACACTATGTCTCTCAGTACTTTGGTGAAAGTAGAGGAGGCAGCATAAATAAAGGAATGGAGATAAGAAACTATATCTCTAAAATGAGTGCAACAAGTAATTCAGTGTTTCTGGAACATAAAAGGCAAAGATGGGAGTGGGAAGAATGAGCTGGAGGGGCCAGATCACAGAAACTCCCCCTCCCCTTTGGGTAAGTAAGTCACTATGGGAAGGTTTGGGGCAGGAAGTGAGAAAATGAATCTTGTACTTTCCATGTGATGGTCTTGGTGAATTAGATAGGGATAAAAGTGGAGACAGAGACCAGTTAGAAGGCTCTGCCATAGTCCATGCAAAAGTTGGAAACAAATAGCCTAAGCTCCAGTAAAAGTGGAAGTTTTGGAGAAGAGGGAAAAGCTTTAAGGAACAGTTGGAAGGTGCTCCAAGGCTATCATGGACATAGAAAAAGTGTTAGAGAAAGGGTGTTAGATATTATCTCTGTGACAATGTACTTAATATTTAGAAGTACTGAATATTTAGAAGAGATAAGACACCTTTGACAGAGGTTCCCCCACTAATTTTCCTCTGTGTAGCTGAAGCGTTATAAAACAATGTTGATGAAGAAATAGGGTACAATACTGATGAGGCAGATGAGTCATCCGTGAATATACATAGTGGAGATGCCCAAACAGCTTACTCAAAAACCACAGGACCTTCTGGTTCCCCATATTTAAATCTTGTAATTATATTCAAGTCAGATTATCTAAAGAAAAATTCAGTCTTTTCTAAATTTGTCTTTTTCTATAATAAAATTTAAAATTAAGTAAAAAAATCTTATTAAATGAGAAAGCAACAAGAATTATATATTGAAGAAATTAAAATTATTTAAAAAATAGAGTTGGGAAAAAATATGTGTGTGTGTAAAGAGAATAAATACTAGTACATTTACAAAGGAACTATAAATATAATCATATATACAGTAAATACACATATAAAGAAACTATATAGATCATATTTCATTGAAATACTTCTGAATTATATTTAGTCAACCAGAAAATGTTCAAAATTTACATATAGTCAATAACAAAGAAAAGAAAGTTAATTATGTACTCACCAAGAAGAGGTGGAAGTGGAGGTACCGAAGGAATTCTAATGAGTTGTAAAAGATTCCCCCCAATAATGGCACTATAAAAAATAATTAACAGTCCAAAAAAATTTCCACCAGGGAGAGCTTCAGGGCCTGTGAATGACCAGATTACACACCATACCATAAAGAGTGCAACTCCTAAAATATAAAAGAAGCATACATAAACATAGATGTATACAAACAAAAGATAAATTTTGTTATCTATTTTATAAAAAATAAAATTTTGTTAAATTTAGAATGTATTAAAAATTCTATTTTATTAACTATATTAATAGCCAGTCCTATATAATAATACATAGTGTAGACTAACATTGCTTACAAGTGTGGTTGAAGAGGTATCTGCTTAACACATATTCCAATGACCCTGTCAATTTATGGGACAAGATTTAAACAAAGTATTTTTATTTAAAAATATTTAAAAACTATATGCAAATTCTTTAAAGTGCTAAACATTTCTTACAATATCAGACATTTTAAAAATGTCATAACAATATGATGAAATTTACTTCATTTTATATTTAGAAATAAATTTTCCATCAAGTTAAGAGGATAATTGTCTGTGATAAGAAATCTCAACTTTACTGAAAATCACAGTGGCAGGGTGCCAAATTTTTTAATAGTAGCAGACTAAATCCTTGTATTGAAAGGGTAATTCAGTTAATATTTGGTATAAATGTATTAGACAGGGTAAAGGCTGGAAAAAAATCAACCTGGTTATTGTGGGATTAAGTATAAAGTTTCATAGATGATGTGTGGGAAGCAGAGGTAAACAGGGTCGTTAAAGATAAGGTAGTAGACATCTTGTTTCTGGCAACTAGATTCTAAGAGAAAGGCCCTACCCACAGGAGAAGCCATAGGTTTCTGTAAAGGAGAGATAGTTACGCCATAAATTTCCATCTGCCAATTAAATGGCTAATGTCATTTGCTATGCATCATAATTTCTAATGCTTTTCAGATTCTTAAAACAGCTGAAGTGTAATTTTAAGCTATTACCCCTTTTTGGCTATATAGATATGCCAGGTAAAAGAGGTAGATTTTGACTCACTCAAGGCAGGAAATTAGAACTAAAGTTCTTGTCCCCTCCCCCTGATTACTGCCACTCTGAAAACTGGAACACATGCAGAGCTGAAATCTTATTAAAAGAATGGACCAGAAAATATCATTCTACTGATAAATTGAGAAGACAAGCAGTTTGTCTTAGCTGGTCTCTGGGTGACAGAAGCTTGTTTGAGAATTTATATACAAAATAGGCCTCATCTATCTTATATTTAGGACTCAAATTTACATTATTGGGTTAGAACCCCCAAAGTCCTAAACCTAGTTTAAAAAGTGTCACCCCAATGGAGCTATACCTAGGGCACTTAGTAGATGCTAATTCAAAACATCTGTAAGAGATGCTCCTAATTCTGGACTACATAAAATCTCAAAGGTGAAGCCCCACTGATTTTGAACTTAAAATAAAATAATAAGTAATCCCCCAGGAGCAAAAGGTAGTAGACACAATAAAAAATGGGATTAAATACCCCAAAACCTCAGCCAATAAAACCTCTAGGTAGACACTATAAGATACGCATTTTCAAAGAGACTAAAGGTAAGTTTGAAAAATTGGAGACATGAGAAAAAATTACTTGACAGTATTGTAAAAGAATCCAAAAGAACATATAGAAAAAAACATTAAATATTACTGAAATTAAAAATGTATTAAATACCTTAAATAGCAGGATAGACACAGCTCAAGAGGGAAACACAGCAAAGTGGTAGATATAAGAAAATTACCTAGAGTGTAGCATAATGAAGAGATGTAAAATGAGAAATTTAGATTATGGAAAAGGTCTAAAATACATCTAATAGTGATTCCAGAAACAGAATTGAAAGAGTAAAGAAGAGACAATATTTAAGAAGATAATAGGCTTCAAAATGTACAATATTGATTGAAACCATAATCAATTCTGTATTAATTTGGACAGAGGAGGCAAAATTACTCCTCATCAGGATTAAATAAAAATAGATACTTAGACACAATGTTGAGAATCTACAGACTATCAAAGACAAAAATAAGATCTTAATCCTGAGAGAAAGATAGATTATCTCTAAAGAAATAAATATCAGAGCAGATTTTCAGTTCTCAACAATGACAATAAAAGCTGAAAGATAATGAAGTAAAGTCTTAAAAGTACAGATAAAATAAATATCCAATGTTGAATTCTGCTGCCAGAACTGTCATTCATTTGAATATATTTGTTAAACAAATACATCTAAAAATGGGCTGACTGGTTAGCTCAACTGGTGCTGATAACACCAAGGTCAAAGGTTAGGATCTCCCATACCAGCCAGATACCAAATAAATAGGGACTGGCCCGTGGTTCACTCGGGAGAGTGTGGTGCTGATAACACAAAGGCCCCGGGTTCGGATCCCATATAGGGATGGCTGGTTAGTTCACTTGGGAGAGCGTGGTGCTGACAACACCAAGTCAAGAGTTAAGATCCCCTTACCGGTCATCTGGTAAAAAAAAAAAAAAAAAGACACCAAATAAATAATTAAATACATATGCCATTTTTACTAGGAAAAAAAAAAAAAAAAAAACGCTTAAAGATATGCTTCAGAAATGACATAGAACCAAAAAGGAAGAAATAATGGTCAAAGAAATTTGTAAACACGTGGGTTGGTCTAAACAAGTGTTGATTGTATAACATATTATTAGTGAAAATTGCTAACCAGGGGATATAAAAAATAAGATAGGGAGAGGACTTACAATAATGGTGACATAAAGAGGTTAGCAATTTATTTCCATGCCAAAAAAGAAACAACAACAATAACAACAAAACACCTCACATATAAAACTGCATAAAGTTATTAAGGGCAATAACTGTAACATAATACTGTTGAGTTTACAGCATAAAATGGCACATTGGCTTAAAGTTGCTTTTATAATACTGGCATTGAGTTAGCATTAAACTGAAGTAGTTTGTGAAAAGTTGAAGATGATTATTATAATCCCAGATAAACAACTAAAACAAAAATCTCAAAAATATAGATAAAAAATAAACAGGGAAATTTAAATAGTGCACTGAAAATATTTGGTTAACACAAAAGGAACAGTAATGTAAAAACAGAAAAACAAAAGATATGACACATATAGAAAGAAAATAAGAAAATAGTACATTTAAGTCCAACTGCATCAATAATTATGTTAAATGTGAACAGACTAAAAGCGAAAAGCAAAGACTGTCATACTGAATTAAAAAAAAGCAAGATCCAACTATATTTTGTCTGCAAGAAACACACTTTAGATACAATGAACAGATAGGATGAATGGAAAAGAATGATAAAGATATAATATGCAAGGGGTAATCATGGTTAAAGAAGAAAACACAGCAGCAATTGTAACATATCTTAAAGTGAATAAAAATGAAAACACAACCAACCATTATTAATAAGATGCAATTAAAGTAGGGTGTAGAGGGAAATACAGAGCTTTAAAAACATATTAGAAAGAATAATCTTAATTTGACAATCAAAACTTCCACCTTAAAAAGCTAGAAAAAGATGAGTAAACCAAACCAAAAGTAAGTAGGATGTGTGAAATAAAAATGATTAGAGTGGAAAACAATACAACAAAAGGGAAAATTAATGAAACCAAAAATTGCTATGTGAGAAGGTCAGCAAATGGATGAATCTTTAGCTAGACTGACCGAGAAAGAAAGAAGACACAAATTACCAAAATTGACTCAAAAAGAAAGAGAAAAATCCAAATAGACTAAATATTAAGCTTAAAAAATTGCATCAGTAATTAAAAATTTTCCCATAGAGCAAAAACTATGTCACTGGTGAATTCTATCAAGCTATTTTTTTTTTCCTTTTTGTCTTTTTTCGTGTCCGGCAACGGATCGCAACCCTCAGTGTCGCGCCCGTACCGGACTGGATCAGCAACGGGATCGCAACCCTCGGTGTCGCGCCTGCACCTCGCTCAGCCAGTGAGCGGGAACCAGTCTGTATGTGGGATCCGAACCCTCGGCGGGAGCGCCGCCATGCTCCCAAGTGGCGCACTGTAGCAGTGCGCCACCAGGCCGGCCCCCTATCAAACTATTAAGCGGGAAATAATAACAATGTTATATAAGCTTTTCCACCAAATAGAGAAAGAGGGAAATTTCTCAACTCATTTTATTTCATTTGATGTCAGTATCTAATATCAAAGCCAGACAGACACTACAAGAAAATAAAACTACATACCAATATCCCTTGTGAACCTAGACACAAAAATTCTTTTCTTTTTTTTTTTTCCTTTTTGTCTTTTTTCGTGTCCGGCAACGGATCGCAACCCTCAGTGTCGCGCCCGTACTGGACCGGGACCGGCAATGGGATCGCGACACAAAAATTCTTAATCAAATGTTAGCAAATCAAATTCAGCAACATATAGAAAGGATTGTAAGCCATAATCAAGTGAGGTTTATCCTAGGAACTCAAGGTTGATTTAAAATCCAACAATCAAACAATGTAATATTTTAATAAAATAAAGGACAAGACCATATGATCATCTTAACAAATGCAAATTGAATATAAATAAAATCCAAGTGTACTCTGTAATAGCTGAAAACATGAATGCACAAAAATCTGAAGGTATGAGAATGATAAATGATAAGACAAATATTAACCAAAATATGGCTGATAGAGCTATTTTGGTCTCAGAAATAAAGAGTTTAAAACAAAAAACATTCTGAGGGATAAAGAAGGTTATTACATAAAGATATGTATTTGCCTGATAATTCAACCTTGAAATATATAAAGCACAAATTGACTGAATTACATAGAAAAGTTGCCAAAGTAAACAAACTTCTTAAGTAAATGATGAATAAATACTAAAATAAACCTCTGAGTCAATTATAAATAACCAAAATTTATTAAGGCTGGTATAAGATTTGAATAACTCTGTTAACAAAAGCTTGATTTAAAGAACATATGTAGACTTCTGAACCCTCAAATTAGAGAATATATATATATATATATTTTGAAGCCTGTACATGAAACTTAGAAAAACTAAGAAAAACTTAGAAAAACACATACTAGTTTATAAATCAAATCTCAGGATATAAAAATTATAATATATACTTTATAATCTGTAATCAAAATGCAAGTAAGT